CATCTGCACCCCTGGATACACCCCAGGTCACCGTGGTGATATGCTGTATTACAGCTTAACAAGAACAATGGATGGGAAGAAGTGAAAGTTCCAAGATTAAATTCTATCGAAAAATTGTAAAATGGGATTTGTAGCTTTTCAATAATTACTTCACTTACACATAGACCAGGCTATAATTGAGATAGGTGCCACTTGGAGAGGTAGAAATTCTCATATGGTTTTTCTAGACCAGTTTTTTATGGGGAATCAGAATATGTGAGGTAAAAGGAGTGTAACCTGAGAACTTTCGCGTGAGGGCGCTTTTTCAAAATGGCCGCCAAAATCCAATAAACTACATATATATGGGTAAAATAAGCACAGAAGAGGTAGGTTTGACCAAATTTTGAATATGTAATGATAGGAGTAAAGTATAATTAGCTAAAGTTATTAATGTGAAGATTTCAAGAGGCAATTGAGGGCGCCTTTTAAAATGGCCGCCAAAATTAAATAACAACTTAATAGTAGCTTCAATACCCTAGATGAATTTGTTTAATTTAAAAAAAACACGAATGTAATAACTGCTGTTGACTTTTTAAACCTAAAACAACATATTTTAGGGGTGTAAGCTAACTCACTTTTGAAAATGTAAGTAAAAATGCCCCCTTATATTAGCCCTTTTCTGTTTTAAAGAATGGAAAATATCACCAGAATCCTAAAAAAAATTCCAGCTTCCTTACAAATATCCGGTTGTTTTTCATTATTTCTCTCTGCTATACAAGGTATTCCAGACAACTACCACAATGTTCATGTATGAAGAAGGCATCAATTCATTTACTATATAATTGTCTTGTAGTGTTTAACTGTGTAGCCCTATGTTGAGCAATAATCTTCAGGTATCGCTTTTATCACTGCAATCTGAAAGTCTCCGTATTTATCGTATGGACAATTCTTGGACTTCCACGGGAATTTGTTTATTCCATCTGTTCCATCAACTATTTTTATTGACAGTCATTTACCTCTGCTTATTTTCATTCTTGAACAATATTTGCTAAGTATCTGAAGCTCGAGATTCTGCTAACATGGTGGCAACAATGATATGTCAGTGATCTTGTCTCTGAAAAACTTTCTATTGAACATGTCATTTTTATTTGCTTGATTTACACTTTTCTCCTTAACTCCAAGCAGCAGTAAGACATACTCTTGTTCTTTAGACAGCTTTTGTGACAGAACATCTAAAACTCCGATGTTGCTGAAAGTTTCAACAAACTCAGTTTATGATTACAGAAGCTACATTTTCCTTTACGAAAGAAAGCCGGGGTATAACTGCCTGTAATATCGATGTCTCGAAAAAGGGAACAGATGATTGTTATTCGTTAAAGCATGCTTTGCATACAGGAAAACTTTCGTGTCGGCTTCTTCTTGGTGGTTCTACGCCAGATTGTAGAACCTCAGGTTGCCGACTGCCAGATTTTCGAGTACAGTTTGCCGAATGCCAGTTTGCTGAATCAAAAACTAAGAATCCCAGATTGTTGAAACCCAGTTTGCGCTGAAACCCACTTTGTCGAAAATAAAATAAAAGCAGTATGTAAAAATTTAACCACTGCATAACATTCATGTTCGAAAACTCTCTTACTATGTATTCATATAAGAAATAGCTGCTTATTGTAGTTAAATGATTCTTTTTGTTTTAATATGTAAATCAATTGGCAATCAGCAATTTAATAGGCCTCACATTTAAAACGTTTTATTAGCATACCTATGATAAATACATAAATTTATTTAAAAAAAATGAAGGAAATAAACAAATTAATAATGATCTACAATTATACATATGTTGGAATTGCCTTCCTTTACATGTGCGTAATGGTAATTTTAATTTATTTAAGAAATTTGTTAAGGAATCGTTCATATAACTTTCTTGTTGACTATTAATAATGATCTACAATTATACATATGTTGGAATTGCCTTCCTTTACATGTGCGTAATGGTAATTTTAATTTATTTAAGAAATTTGTTAAGGAATCGTTCATATAACTTTCTTGTTGACTATTCGTTTTGCTGATGAGTGCTTGTGGATCCCAAACATTTATTGTACAGGAACTCCGTTCCTTTTGGTATGCCCGCCTCCCCACTCATCACCAGCAATCTGTATACTCTTTGTTTCTATGGATTTTCTTTCAATTTTAATGTTTTAATCTTGTATCGTATATTGTCTATACATATATATTTTTATATATTTTAATAAATATATTAATAATAATAATAATAATAATAATAACACATGTCAATTGTGGCTCCAGAAATTTGTCGACAGGGGGTCTGACTCAAGGGGCCGACTAGAGCCTCGGTTGTCAGGGACCTGGCACAACAATCCTGATAGGGTTTGCAGGGAGAGTATTTAAGAAGGATATGATGCTCATTCTTAAATTCATTTCATTTTATTCTAATTTTAACTGAGAGCCATGCTTTCAAGTGTGTTTTTATAAAGCTTTTATGTCTTCCAATATTTTTCCTTTTAATTTGTACACAAATGAAGCTCCTTCCTTTCAAATGCACAGTATGCTGTACCTTTGTAACACAGAGATTTGGACTGGGTTTCGGAAAACTGAGTTTTGGTAAACTGGGATTTCATGATTTTAGTGAACTGCATTGGGCATTCTGGGTTTCGGCAAACTGAGTTTTTGCAAACTAGGATTTCATGATTTCAGTGAACAACTGGATTCGGCAAACTGGATTTCGACAAACTGGTTGGATACCTTCTTGAATACTATTGCTATCGGCGAGAATGCATCCTTTTCACTGAAAGAGATTTTGTGACTCGAAAGTTGGAATTACAACCAATACATAAATATCAACCGTTCCATTCTGGAGACATCGATATTGCAGTCGTCGCTACTGATCTTATTTTATGACAACGGAGAGAGTCATTCTAAAGACAAACACTGGCAAATACCGAAAGATTAAGTGGCATTAACTTTCACCAGCGAAGAAATCATCCCTTATTTTATCTCGTGCTTCTGTAGCCAAAGGCAAAGTTTTCTTGACACTTTCTGATAACTTTAAAGTTTTAGGTGTTCTGTCACAAAAAATATCTGAGGAACTTGAAGACTGCAGGATGGAGTTAAGGGGAAAAGTGTAAATCAAGCAAGATGTGAAATGTTCAATAGAGGCAACAAGATCACAGACATATCATTGCTACCACCATGTTTGCAAGCAGACCCTTGAGCACTGGGGGAAATTTAATTGCTAAAGAATGGAAATTAAGCAGACGTAAATGATTTGGTCAGCAAAAATAGTATTCACAACAGATGGAATGATCAAATAAAGCAAAAAATGATTGAGACAGTGATGCCCATGGAAGTCCAAGAACTGTTTATAATAACGACGAAGACTTTCAGATTGCAGTGATATTAGCAATACATGAAGATTATTGCTCAACATGGGGTAATACACTAAAGGACAATTATTAAATGAATTAATGCCTTTATACATGAAAATTATGGTAGTTATTTGTGTGGTCCTCTGGAATACCTTGTGTAGTACACAAAAATAATGAAAAACAACCGTATATTTGTACGAAAGCTGGAATTTCTTTAGGATTCTGGTGATATTTTCCATTTTTCAAAACAGAAAAGGGCTAATATAAGGGGGAATTTTTACTTACATTTCCAAAAGTGAGTTAGCTTACCACCCTAAAATAGGTTATTTTGGGTTTAAAAAGTCAACAGCAGTTATACATTCATGTTTGTATTAAACAAATTATTTAGGGTATTGAAATTGCTGTTAAATTGTTCTTTAATTTTGGCGGCCATTTTAAAAAGCGCCCTCAATTGCCTCTCGAAATCTTCACATTAATAACTATAGCTAGTTATACTCCTATCATTACATATTCAAAAGTTGGTCAAACCTACCTCTTCTGTGCTTATTTTACCCATATAAATGTAGTTTATTGGATTTTGGCGGCCATTTTGAAAAAAGCGCCCTCACGCGAAAGTTCTCAGGTTACGCCTCTTTTACCTCACATATTCTGATTCCCCATAAAAAACTGGTCTAGAAAAACCATATGAGAATTTCTACCTCTCCAAGTGGCACCTATCTCAATTATAGCCTGGTCTAACACTGTATAATATAATAGCGATCGTTTTCAATGGGTATTTATTACAGATATCAACCCCTGCTTTGAGAGCACAGACGACTGCTTACAGAGACTTTTCCAAGATTGCATTTGATGGGAAGAAGTGAAAGTTCCAAGATTAAATTCTATCGAAAAATTGTAAAATGGGATTTGTAGCTTTTCAATAATTACTTCACTTACACACTGTTCAATATAATAGCGATCGTTTTCAATGGGTATTTATTACAGATATCAACCCCTGCTTTGAGAGCACAGACGACTGCTTACAGAGACTTTTCCAAGATTGCATTTTTTTAGGCCACGAGCAGTACGATTGTCAAACATGTTTTCATGGCTATATACTAAATGAAACCAGTGATTCATGCGTGGGTAAGTTGATTCACGACGAACAGTCTTCTCTTAGAAATAGAAGTAGGTATCTCTTTATTAATTTTATGGCTCTTATCATGTGTATAATGAAGTACTTTTTAAATGTAAGGCAGTTTTGGGCAAAACAGAATTGGCCTATAATCCATTCTACTTAATTTTCGCTGTGGAACAAACAGGAATAATTTAAATGCAGAACATTTTAATGTTTTACCAACCATTATTTCAATTAATCATTCATCCATTGTGTCTGTTACTTATTGTATTTTAAGCTTTCATAATAGTAACTTTATTGATTTTTAATTTAAAAAAAATTAATGTAATAATAGAAATAGATAAGGATACCCTAAGGAATGGACCTTCCCACTCAGGAAAGGTTAATTAGCCGTGTTCCTTTATTGCAGACGATGTCAATCAACACCTTGGTGTTTACACCGAATAAACTCATTCCTGATATATTGATTCGTAGTTTTGACACTTAAAAAGGTTAATTAGTTGTGGCTTTTTGTTGCAGACGACGATGAATGTGCCAAAGAGACCTTCGATTGTCCATCTGGTTTTAAATGTAATAATACTTATGGCGGCTACGAATGTGTCTGTCTGTCAGGATTCATCATTGAAGACAATGCATGTGTTGGTAAGAGATATTATTTTACTATCACTTCATTGTGCCTGCACTCTATATAATACCGTACTAGACGACGGTGATAATGATGATTTTGGATGAATGAGTTTATTCGGTGTAAACACCAAGGTGTTGATTGAGCAGTGTGGAGAGTATACCGTGAGACAATCCGATACTCTATTTCGAATGAGTGTACTGCGTTCTTTAAGTGTACTTGGGCCATAATAGACACAGAACAAATGGCGCCTTAAACTCCTTATCCAGAAGACGATGCGCTATCATAACTTGCATTTCAGCCCTCCAGCTGAAATACTGTACAAGGAAAGCAGCGAAGGGAATTAAACCGGCGACCAAGATTATCTCTGAGGTTCTGCTTACACACACAGTGGCTCCACCAGTTTAGCCGACTGAGCTAAGCTGGAAGAATTTGAGTGAGAACATTTTAATTGTTTACCAACAATTATTGCAATTAATCATGTATTGTGTCCCTTACTTATAGTATTATAAATCTCTCATAATGGTAAATTCATTTTTTTTTAATAAAAAAAATTATGTAACAATAGAAATAGATAAGGACACTCTAAGGGAATGTACCTTCCACTAATCACTATCGCTCGGATATTGTTACTAAGGTACAACAAAACAACACCGTAAACATAATGTATGTATGTTAGAGATGCACGTCCACTTGGCCCTGATCTGATTGGTCAGTTTTGACACTTTAGAAAGGTTAATTAGCCGTGGTCTTTTGTTGCAGACGTTCATGATGAAGATTATTAAATATTTTAATAATTTTTAGAATTTTTTCTGAGAGATGAGAATGACTGTTTATGAAGCCCGTGTCCATCAAACGCGACCGTATCAATATAACTGGCAGTTATACCTGTCAATGCCAATTAGAGAGATATTCATTTGACAATGGCACATACGTCAGTAAAATGATTATAAAGCAACTCGTCCACAATCTGTCATGTTCATTGACTTTTATTTGAATCATTTATCCTGATATATTAATAGACCAGTTCGTAGTTTTGACACTTAAAAAGGTTAATTAGTCGTGGTCTTTGTTGCAGACGTTGATGAATGTGCCAATGAGACCTTTGAATGTCCATCTGGTTTTAAATGTAATAATACTTATGGCAGCTACAAATGTGTCTGTCTGTCAGGATTCATCATTGAAGACAATGCATGTATTGGTAAGAGATATTATTTTACTATCGCTACCTTGTGTGCCTACACTATAATACTAGGTGATGATGATGATGATTTTATTACAGACTACTGCTCTGCAAGTGACTTGTGTCCCTGGACAAGGCACTTTTTTCTATGGTTGTCTCTCTCCACCCAGGCGTACAAATGGGTACCTGGTAGGTTCAAACACAACTATGCGCTGATTACAGCTGCAACATTATGGGGCATGAGTGTTGTTCCATGTGCTTGATCCAGTGACCGGGGGTAATAATGTAAAGCGCATAGAGGTTACTCTACAATATGCGCTATACCGGTAAGTCGACAATTATTATTATGATGATTTTAATTGGATGGATGAGTTTATTCGTTGTAAACACAAAGAATAACCCAATAATAGCAGCGACAGGAATTGAATCCCGTGGACCAAGAGATCTTTACAGTTCAGCGCACACACATAGTGGCTAACCACAAGTTCAGCAGACTGCATGGCATGATGATGCCAATGACGACGATGATGATGATGTTCATGATGAAGATTATTAAATATTTTAATAATTAATTTTTAAAAATTTTTCTGAGAGATGAGAATGACTGTTTATGAAGCCCGTGTCCATCAAACGCGGACTGTATTGGCAGTTATACCTGTCAATGCCAATTAGAGAGATATTCATTTGACAATGGCACATACATCAGTAAAATGATTATAAAGCAACTCGTCCACAATCTGTCATATTCATTGACTTTTATTTGAATCATTTATCCTGATATATTAATAGGCCAGTTCGTAGTTTTGACACTTAAAAAGGTTAATTAGTCGTGGTCTTTGTTGCAGACGTTGATGAATGTGCCAATGAGACCTTTGAATGTCCATCTGGTTTTAAATGTAATAATACTTATGGCGGCTACGAATGTGTCTGTCTGTCAGGATTCATCATTGAAGACAATGCATGTGTTGGTAAGAGATATTATTTTACTATCACTACATTGTGCCCGCACACTATATAATACCGTACTAGATGACGGTGATGATGATGATTTTGGATGAATGAGTTTATTCGGTGTAAACACCAAGGTGTTGATTGAGCAGTGTGGAGAGTCTACCGTGAGACAATCCGATGAGTGTACTGTGTTAAGTTTACTTGGGCCATAATAGACACAGGAAAAATGGCGCCTTTAACGTCTCAACCAGAAGACGATGCACTATCATAACTTGCATTTCAGCCCTCCAGCTGGAATACTGTACAGTCGACCTTCCCATTTACGAACTTCTCATTTACGAACCTTCTATTTTACGAACGGTTGGCCGATGACGTCATCGCTAGATTTATTCATCTTATTTTAATGCTATTTTTATTTATTTTAAGAAAAACAAATTACAAAGGTCATTAAAAATTGCATTGGAGTACTAGTTATACCGTCATTCCATAAATACATCATACTACTTTAGGCTTAGAAAAGTCAAACCAATACATGATGTAAAATAATCAAAACTAGGCGAAATTCAGGCAGGCAGTGCATGCTGCTAGGCCTACTTGGGCCTACCTTGTCTGGGCTAATAAGGGCAAGGCTGGGCAGCCTACCAGGGAGGCCTACCCTACTCTGTCTATGGTTAACTGCGGTCTAAATACATTGTAAATCAAATCAGCTAGTCCGAGTTTAAATGTATGGTAACATCAACCTTTTATCCTTTTAAGAATAAATCACTGTTCGGATATTCAATAAGCATCTGTATTAATTATTTGTTT